TAATTTGTGGTATTTTAATAACAACCTGACTGAGATATGTGTATGTTTTTGATTTCGATTTTTGACAACGTTTGCATTCTATGTGCTGTAGTTAATGCCAGTAAGGTTAATGTCTTTTTAATCAATTTGGGAACCTCATTTGGTCCTCATTTGGGAACCATTGGCTTATCTGATCTAAAACGCAATTCGTATCCCATGTAAAGTTATACTTTGGAAGGGGTGGTTGAAGACGAAACACACCCTTAAGAATCTCTGAACTCTGTCATCTTTACCTATGTGTGATCCTAATAAAAAGGATAAGGCAGATCTGCATGAATTCAATGTATCGAATTGACCACCATCGTTAAACAACACAGTAAGGAAGTAAATAACGGTAGGGACTGAAGCTGTAAATAAGTCAATGGAATTATTATTGCAAAAGGTCCACCATTTTTTTTTTTTAAGTATACGTCATATTGACTGAGTGAATTAAGGATAATGATGATAACATTATGTCCAAGGAGGAAGTTGGTAAGCTCCTTCTTGATAACGCGTTCCTGGTAAGGTTGCTGCCACCAGGGTAATCGATTCGTGAACCCTTCGGGAATGTATTCAATAGCGACGTCGTCCCTGTGTTTGAGACGGTGGCGGGCGGCGGTGGTGGCGGTGGTGGCGGCGGCAGCGGTTGCGGACGCGGCCACTGCCTTGGGGAGGTAATCTGCGCGGGAATGCAGGCTCGCGACTCCTCTGCGATGGGCCTGGTTGCCTGTACGCCGGCCCAGGAGCATTCCGGTTTAACTGATTCTGATTAGATATTTTTTGCCGTTTACTTATATTTTTTGTAGAAGGGTCAACCTTTAATTCGATTCCAGACTTGTTTATTGATTTTATTGTCATAAGAGTTTCAGTCAATGTTTCGCCGAATAAAAATGAATCGATCTATTTTAATGAAAACATTATAAAGTTTCTTCTAGTAACTGAATCGCTATGTTGAATATCGCACAGTAAACGACTGCGGTCCATTAGCTAAAGCAGTTATTCTTTATCCTTTTCCTTAGAGTTAAGATGAGCAATAATTATTTCTCCAAGACAAGCAATAGCACTGGCCATTTGCGTTTGTTTACCCTCTATGCCTTTGTCCCTCTTAAGAGTATTTTCAAGTATGCCAGCCTTGATTTCAGGGTTAAGTTTTGGAGCACTAATAAGAGAGCAATTAGCAGCAATTGGGTACTTCGCTATCAGCTCCTTACGGATATCCTTATTAAGCCCCTCTATGGTAATATGAGTTAGTCGACAAGCGAGTTATGTCGGATATCATTACCGAGCTTCTCTAAGTGCGAAGGATCTTCGCCGAGAATTTAAAGGATATCGGTGTCCAGATCATTTTCGTTATGGACTCCTTCTTGGGGCCGTAACTCTGACTCGACAGGTGGTTCGTTAACGGTCGTCGCGTCGACACAGTCATCCTCAGTGTATAGTATAAGTTTTGAATGTCACTGATACCAATCATGGATTGTGGATCATCGTCATAATGAGGTTGTTCTAATAACCAATCACTCGGCACCATAGGTGGGGTGGCAGAAAGATAAGAAAATCGTTTGAGATTTTCATTCATATTATGACTATGACGATCATAGTCATTCATAAAAGTATGCGACGAATTAACCCCAACAGCAGTTCAGGTGCATACTTTTTGTTTTAACGTAAATACGTTATAGTTTGATAGGTACGATATGTACAATAGCAGTTTTAGATAACGATAGTTATCTTGTCAAAGTTAGGTAGATCCCCAATGGATTGAACGCTAACTGATTTACTGAATGCGTTGAATAAGCCCCAATGACTTTTCTGATTGCATTCCGTACCCATAAATTCGGGCACAAGTCACTAACTGAACTTTCCTTATCACATAATTTTTGTTCTAATTTACGCATTTTCTTTTGAGGATGTTTTAACTCTTCTTCACATGTTCTAACTTTCGTACGTTTCGGCATTTTAACTATCTGTTATACACGTTATTGGGAATACGACCGGAGCAGTCGGGCACTATAAAGCGAATGAAGATGGCAGGGAACGGTATCGACTAAGAAGATGAGAACTACCCTCGTAATAAAAAAAAAAAAAAAAGCAAATGCAAAGAAATCTCAACTATAGTGCCGGAGTAGTGACACATATGCGATACTACTAGTAATATAATCTAATCAAATAAATACTAATCTCGAGAACGAGGCGCGAAGTATAATTAGTATATAACAGTCAATATTAATCTGATGAAAGTAATCCAGTGTTATAAAAGTTGTGAAGAGAATTATAGTTGATAATAAACAACATTTATATAAGTGTCGGAGGATTGAAGCGGGAAGTGATAACGTTCAGGCCTATAATGTCGCTTGTTTCTATGTTTGTGAATTAGTTTCGATGATAGCTTCGATGTGAATGCAGCAATAATCCTTTATGTGATGACAGCGGTCGCTTACCGCGTTGTCTGTATCCTGTTGGAGTTTAGGTGTTATTGTCGACTGGATCACCGTAGGGTATTAGCGATTCTGTCTCCATCAGTATTCAACTAAATAATCTGGCTATAGTGTGTTTTTATGCATAACTGCAGTTTAAAATAACATTGATATAATATTGTCCAGTGGCATTAACATTCGATCGACTAAACGGTCTCTTCCTTACATATATCCCATGATAATCATTATGTATATGAATGAAGTAGTTCCTAGTTATTTAGATTCTATACGACATTTCGGATTATACTTTAGTGAAAGTTTGAATAGAACACTTTTTATTGTTAATACTTGGAAAGTTGTTTAGTGTATTATTACGACGTATAGTTATTAAATTAATTGGCAGTTATAGTTAGTTATTATTAAATGGAAATAATCATATTATTCTAAAATAATAATGTACTTGTTATTTTACGAATCTGATGCCTTTATAGAAATATTCATCATCATCGTCATCATCAGCCCATATTCGTCCACTGCTGGACATAGGCCTCCCCAATTGCACGCCATCTACTTCGACCCTCAGCTGTTCGCATCCAGCTCCTCCCAGCTATCTTCCGCAAATCATCGCTCTATCGCGTCTGAGGACGTCCTACACTACGTTCGCCGAGACGCGGTCTCCACTCAAGACTCGTTTACCCCAACGGTTATCGGTTCTGTGGCTAATATGGCCAGCCCACTGCCACTTCAGCTTGGTGGGCTATGACGATAACCTTGGTTCTCTGCCGGATCACCTCATTTTTGATTTGATCCCGCAGAGAAACGCCGAGCATAGCCCTTTCCATAGCCCGCTGAGCGACCTTCAACTTGTGGACCAGCCGTGCCGTCAGTGTCCACGTTTCGGCTACGTATGTCATAACGGGTAGGACGCACTGATTAAAGACTTTCGTCTTTAAGCACTGCGGGATCGACGATATGAAGACCCGACGTAGTTTCCCAAACGCTAGATATAGAAATATAGCAATATTAATATGGTCAATTTGAAAGTTATTAATATAATTAATATTGATGAAAAATAGGTATCAAAGAATGGAATCAATAAATTTTAGAACCAATTACTTCGAACACTGACGCTTGATTATAAGCATCGGATTTTTTTTATCCTGTACTTTAACAAAACTAAATTTATTAGCAAACGATTTATGATTTAATTCTTGATACATTATCCATACAGTTGTTATGTACGAGTATCAATTTAAAGTTTATCATACTTGTGACACCATCCAATTAAAGTTCTGGTTTTCTCGATTCATTTAATATTTGGCAAGTATGAAAAAATAAGAACATAAAAGCGGTCGTGAGTTGAGTCTAAAGCTTTCTGACCAATCGATATCACGGAATAAGTATAAAAATTAATGTTCTCGACTTAAAGGGATTTTTTTTTGACGCTGAGAAATGGGTTACACATACCCATTTCACCCAGCGCGGGCTCCACGGGTTATGTGAGACTCCTCCTGTGGCCCCATCCCCGAAGGGGCTAGACAAGAAATAGGAGTTTACCCACTAAAACTCAGCGATGTCCCTCGCATGAAAGGCGATGCGCGGGATCGGACCGGAGGCCATACACCGCGCGGTTCGCCCCCATTTTGACCCGCCCTGAAAAGGGCAGGTCCCTCTGCGGGTTGGGGGTACATCTCAGAGACATTCGAGACGCACCCCCACGACGAGGTGGGAGCGTGTAATGCCGACCGGTGCGGAACCGGCGAGCTGCCAGCAACAGCACAGCAACTAGATACCAGAGATGCGCGACTGTGCAATCTCCAGTCCCCTACCCATCGTGTTGGGATCCACACAGGCATAGCCCTTATCGTGGGTCCTCCCCCCTGTAGGTCGACGATGCGCCACAGAAGACCAGCCTCATCGCGACCTGTGTCAGCTCCGAGGAGCAGACAGGGCGAGTCCAGCCGGTCGACGGGTCGCACCCCCGCGCCGCGGCTACCGCACCGCGCCGCACCAGTCGTCGAGTAAGCACAGCAGGCAAGTCCCCAGGTAAGTACCCACTGCACTACTCCAGGCTAGTACGGCGTGTAGATGAATGTGTGAATGAAAGTGTATGACTGTGGTGTGTGTGTGACTGTAAATATGTGACTGTATGTGTATGTGTTGTGTAGGGTAGAGTAGGTTGTATGCATGTGTGTGTAATATGCATGTAAGTGTGTGCATGTACACACCACAAACAAAACATAAATTGATAATGGTATATTGACATCGGTTTCTTTTATATACTGACATAATTAAACAATGTACATAACTTTTTGCTATAAAAAATCTAATAGTATCATTGAAAAAATCACAAATTAGCACAGAAATAAACACATAAAGTCATGCAATTTTGCTTAAATCAGATTCAGATTTAATGAAGATTGCTGTAGAAGCATCATCCTTACGAACGAAGATTTTGCCATCACGAACCCAATATATATAGTATTTAGCTTGAGATTTCTTCTGCCTCGTCTTTGCAAACAGCAGTTTGTTAGAAGGTGTCAAGTGCTCATTTATATAAATCCTCCTTCAATCACCTGCGATGTTGATGTCCTTGGTAGTCAGACCATTTTTCGAACGTGTACCCGAAATTATAGCATCCCTCAGCAATCTTGAGCGTAATCTGGCTACAATTAGCCTTGGACGACAAGGAACTTTGGTACGCGGCTGTACTCTCGTCATATATTCAATATCCTGAGAAGTAATTTGAACGTTCACAAAGACTGCGATGCTTAGGATTATGGTTCTTATGTCCTCATTCTTTTTCTCTGGAATGCCAGAATTTTTTATATTCTGGCATCGATCACGTTGCTGCTGTAAATTAAGTTCGGCTTGTAGACTACAAAGTAGATCTTTCATGTTGGAAATGTCGTCAAAGCGGGACATTGTAGTTTTTTCGGAGTCGTCGATACGTCGCACGAGATTCTCATGGTCCATGTATAATGTATTGTATTTGTCATTCACCTCATAGGACGAGAAGACTATATGGATAGACTAGGATAGAGAAGACTCATAGGACGAAGGTCTCGCACAGATATGGGTTGGCTTTTCTTTGGGAGGGAATTCGCTTATAGCTGTTTTCCAGATCGTAGGAAATCTGCATTCATTTATCGACCGATTATTCGACCGACCGACGATCGATTTATTATTAGAGTTAACATGCACATCCTGAAAGTAGCAGTACTAAACCTGTTGTATTCGAAATAGGTCATATGTGATAATGTCACTTTGTTCTCCTCTGGGACATCCAAAAAGTGCGCATTAATGACACTCGGGTTGCTAAATTGTGCTGATAATTCAGACTCACTCCGCTTTTCCTTTAGTTGCTTAGAGTTTTTTATTTGCGAGTTTATACTCCTTTTATAAAAACATGCCTTTTCTGTTTCAATTGTAGTTGTTACGAAGCTCTTCATTATATTGTAGCATTGCTTTGAAGATTCAGATTTGTTCAACCTATATTTGTTATGGTATTGTTCCCTAATGTGCATCATCGTTCTCACTGTGACTGTGATCCAGAGATGAGGAGGATGCCTGAATTGTTTTCTCCTGACAGGAAGGTGCAGATCAAAAAGTGTCAAGATACTTGCCGTGAAATTCACTACCATGGAGTCAATACTGTCAGCCTTGTGAAGACTATCCTGTGGCCTGTCAGCCCTGTGGAGTCAAGCTCAACAATAAACGGCTCCAGAACTATGTCATTGAGTGATCTGTACGTGACCCAACAAGGATGAGCCTTCTCTTTTTTAATTTTAAATTCAGCCGTTATCATAGCATGCCCACCAAGTTCAGGAGAGTGCTTATTTATAACCTGATGTACTCAAAGATCAGTGCATATCACATCGATTAAGCTAGAACTATGATTCGTAAAATGAGTGGGGTATCTGTCTACTTGTGTTAAGCCAAAGCTATGTAGCAACTGTAAGGAGAGCCTCTGCTTGCTGCCACCACCACTAAAAATGCCGATGTTGAAATCGCCAAGCAATATTATTCCATCATAAAAAAAAGAAGTAACAGAATCGACAATAACATCTAGGAACAGTTCCATATCCAGCCACTGCGGCCTGTAAGCTGTATCGACTAAGATGTATCTACCCTGTAGGCGCACCCACAGCCATATCTGCTCCACCGATGCTGCAGTAGGATGCTGGCACGTTCATGCATTGATACCTTTTCTCACATAAAAACCCCCACCACCATCACGACCTCTTCGTATTCGATCAGTTCACGAGGCATGGTGCATGCGGTAACCTGAAACCTTCGGCGCTCTGTCATCCTGACCAGGTCTCAGCCAGGTTTCATTGATGGCAAGTATATCTGGTGCCAAGCCCTCAACAGCCAAGATAAAGTCTTCATGCTTTGTGCACAGAGACCCTAAACAATGCGGGCATTGTATAGGCCAACTTTGAAGTTTGAAGAATTAATCATTTAGAATAGTTAAGTGAAATAGTTACAATCATTTAACCCGGCGCCAATGACGTGAAAATAATTTCAAAGACGATGACCCCGGGTCATAATAACCCAAAATTAAACGATAATTTTTCAGGAAATTCAATAAATATCTTAATTTTAATTACTGTCTATATATAAAGGGTTCTTTACTAAGCTAATAAAATAAAAATAAAACTAATACATTATATAAATCAAATTTTTATTAATTATTTATCAACACATGCAAAATCATCTATAAAAACGTAACGTGTCTATATTTTTAGTTTTTCGTAAAGATTTCTTAGTAATAGTAGGAATCAATAATCTTATATAGTAATAAAGAAATCAAATCAACTTCTCAACATGCAGATACAATGAGATCAGTCTTCTACTTCATCATTCAGAGCTATAGAACTACTGCAATTATTGCAGGATGAAATCAAATGGTCTGGGCATACGTAAATGCGGCATGCCTGACAAGTATGAGATGTTTTCTTATCTTTTTTAGACGGACATATTTGACATCTCTTGCGAGTTCCTGGAACTTTTTGAGGAGGTTCTTCAGTAGGTTCGCCGATGAAATCTGCGATTCTTTTGCGCAACTGACGAGGTAAATTTTCACGTGTCTTACGGATTTGTAAGTGCTCTTTTACCAAATCAAGTCCCAGTTTTTTTAGGAAATTGCGCCTTTTCGTTCGAGTATCGTTATTCAAAGTCAAAGTCAAAGTCAAAATAATCTTTATTCAAATAGACTTCTTAAAAGTACTTTTGAATCGTCCAACATTTTTTCCCTACCACTCGTTCAGGACGTCTTTTGGCTGATAAGAAGAACGAGCAAGAAACTCACCAGCTCTAATAAGAGTAATAACATTTACAAAAACCATGTCATTACCAGATCAATACATTATAAACAGTCATTACCATGTCATTACCAGATCAATACATTATTATTAGCCCGATGTATTATGTAAGCATTTATGCCCGATATATTCAGCATTGCGTAGAAGATCGTTAGTGGCCATCGTTTTGAGTTTCTGCTCACGTTGTAAATAGCACAAAGTTCGTCAGCTACATCTACTCCGCTCTTTGTGTTATTATAAAAAGTTATAATTTCTGGTTTTCGTTTATCGCCAGTCGACTCATCAATACTACCATCATGGTGTAAGCTTGATAGCAAAAAAACTACTTTTTTTTTTGGGAATATAAGAGACCAAAGTTATATCTTTTTGGTATCCAAAAGTTGAAGAACTCGGGTCTTTACCTCGTGTTGTTACGAATTGTGGTGGAATTTGCTGCTTATTCTTGCGTAGGGTACCCACTGAAGTCAGTTTGTGTTCGCTTAGAAGATGAGACACCAATTCGTAACTTGTGAACCAATATTCAAAAGTGATATTACGATGGGTTTTGGAGACTGGCAACACAAGGCGCTGTACTACATCAAATAGTTTATTACTCAGTGAGAATGTGCCATCCGGCTGCTTACCGGCGTATATCTCCAAATTGCTCACGTAGAATATTTTTGAGTCTACTAACGCAAATATTTTCATCCCGTATTTGGCTGGCTTAGATGGAATATACGGACGAAATTTGCATCGACCTCTAAACGCCACCAACATTTCGTCAATAGTGCAGTTTCACCCAGCGAATACATTTCTTTACATTTCTCAACGAACATTTCAAAAACTTCTCGTATTGGTGCCAAATTATGAACTTGTTGTCTTTCAGCACGTGTAGACTTATCATCAAAGCGTAAGCTGCTTTGTACAAAATAAAATCTTTGAATTGACATAGTAAGCCTAAAATGTCCACTCCTGTACCATCTGTTTGCCACAAGTCACTTCAATTTTGTCTATTAGATCGATAAAATCCAGCTAGAAACAAAAGTCCTATGAACGCTTTCAATTCACTTATTTCAGTCTCACCCATATATCTATGTTTCCTCAAATCCTCACACGCAGCTCTTCTTTCACGTATATATGAATTGGTGCATATTTGAATTTTACACAGCATATCATGGGTAATGAATAAGTTCCAACATTCTGACTCAGTCTTAGCGCCTTGAACTACAAGTTTTACACCTGGTCTTTCAGATATATGTTTTCAGATCGCGTACGCACATTCGGCCTCGCAGGTGTTTTTTGCCACATTGTCTCATCCTTTCCTTTGAAAAAATTTTGTCGTACTTGTTGTCGTACTGATGCAAGATCGAGATTATCCGATGAATCTGAGTCCACATCACTTGCGTCTTGTTCACTTTCGCTGTCATTACTACGTTCTGATAAGTTGTCCTCAATGTCAATGTCTGAAGCAGCCTGGGATTCTTCACTCTCGGAATCCGACTGTTGTAGCAACTCTAAAATTTTTGCTTGGTTATTTGTCAAAGACATTTTGACGAAAATCCTAAAAATGAACAAAATAAATTAAAAGTAAACACTAAATAAACGAATAAAAGAAAGTCACACTATCACCACGCCACCGATGACGCTGGGTCATATTTACCCGTTTTAATTTGACGCACGTGTATCTCGCTGCGCAAGCGGCGTCGCACTGAGCTGGCTAACGAAGCGGATAGAGGGGGGTCGTATCTCCAGCTACATAAAGACTCAAACCACTAAATGGACGCAAAAAAATATATCAACGTTTAAAAATGCCTCGGGTCAATATGACCCAGCGTTAATGACGCCGGGTTAAAAAGTTGGGACGTTGTTAACATGCACACTGAGAGAGTTATGAATTATGTCTTTTAAATGGGCGCCATGATTCGACGAGGCCGTCCTTCCGCCGAGTCACCGCCGCATGCAACGCGCTCACTCCTTTTTCATCCGCGAGATGTCTGATCTCCAGGTCAGAAAGAAGCGCCCCCTGGTCCCGATCGTTAAGCTCCAACTTTAGCTCCGATTCCTCACGCTCTAGTTCAGCCATTCTGACCCCGCTGTCCCCACTCTACTACCGCTCCACAACTTCCGATCGCCGCTCGAAGCCATCCATGCGCTCGGAGCCATCCATGCGCTCGGAGTAGGCCACGAACGTCTCGGCGAGTAGCGCCATCTCCTTCCTGAACTTTCGCATTTCCATCATGCCCTCCTTGAATTCTCGGATGAATTCCTGCAAGCCGCTCGCACCCGTAGGATCGATTACGTCGATGGCGGTGGACTCCAGTTGCCGCGCCGCTGTTTCGGCCTCGTGAGAAGATTTCGGCGGCCCCGAAAGCAAATTTTCCGGATTCGCAGCCGCGCCCAGCGCCCTCACCAGCATCTGACTGTTGTCACCTCTCCGTGAGCTCTTTTGGCAGTTAAGGCATGCCCGGACTGGGCATGCTTAAACTGCCTTATTTAATTTTATTTTGTCGGACATAGCCAAACAAGCCCGATAATACTTCAAGGGACAGACACTGCTACAGGCAACGGCACCTACCGAAGACAAAAACTTTCCACAAGCTATTAGAGTGACTTATTTGCTGACAGATGGCGAAGCGGATTACCAATGCCTCCCATGAAAAAGCACCGATG